GGTCGGAACAGCCGCGGGCCTGGCCCAGCGAAGAGTTGCGCTGCCCCTGGGACCTCAGACCACCGCACAGCACCGTGAATCTGGAGACGCCAGGGAGGCCCCGGCGTGTTCGGAAGAGCCGTGGCATGGCCCAGCCAGGCTCAACGCTGTGCCTGGGACCACTCAGGGCCCACGACACGGGCACACCCCCAAACAAAACGCAGCCGTGGGTCGAAGCACCCCCCATTTCCCGTGCTCTCCCGTGCTCTCCAGGTGTGCATTGCAAAGTCCTTGTTTGCGACGTCCTGGTTTTCGGGGACCTCTGAACCTCGGTCAGCACACAGCGGCTTCGGAGGCGCCGGTGACAGAGTGCAGAAGAAACACCCTCGCAATGTAGGCCCCCGACGAGTGCAGCCCTTCAGTAAACGTGCCTTGAGAAGGAATCGAGCAAAGCAGGGCTGCTCGGTACAGTAGGGGCCCGACCACAAGAAACCTTCCACAAGAAACCCAACCCTGAGACCCCATGACGTCCATTGATTTTGGCGTGGGAACGTCACGCTTTCCATCGCAGAACTATCGAACCCAAGAAACCCAGGGCACCCTGGATGCAAGCAGGGTGTTTCTTGGTATGGGTCTCCACTGTAAACGCCCAGGGATGCTCAGTCAACGCCACTTCTGTGGGTCGGGGTGGCTTCTCGGGGCAGCCGCGGTCTGGCCCAGCGAGGCGCTGCGCTGCCTCCTTGGGCCGCTGGCCCCCCGCACGGCCGCAGGGGCGGCCCTGGAGACGCCAAGGATAAGCCCCGAGGTGCTGGCGGCGCGCACGTTGGGGTGGCACTCCAAGGCTGCAGGGCAGGCTTCTTGTTCAGAGGGGCCCAGGAACTTCCGCGAAGCCATCCCCCGCAAAAAGCCAGGGGGGCTGCCGAAACGCCCTCCGCTGCCCTCTCGGAGCCCCCCCCCCACCCACAAGGCCGCCCCCGCTCGCGCCACCCCCTTGTGCGCGCCGCCAGAGGTCCGTGGGCGGAGCAGCCGCGGCCCGACAGTCCTAGAAAAACTGCCCGCGCCTGGCGCCGCATGCTCCAGGCAGTCCGTGCTGCGAGGCGAGGAATGAGGAATGAGGAATGAGGAATGAGGAATGAGGAATGAGGAATGAGGAATGAGGAGGAGGAGGAGGAGGAGGAGGAGGAGGAGGAGGAGGAGGAGGAGGAGGAAGAGGAGGAGGAGATGGAGGAGGAGGAGAGGTGGAGGAGGAGGAGGAGGAGGAGGAGGAGAAGGCGGAGGAGGAGGGAGGAGGAGCAGGCGGAGGAGGAGGAGGAGGAGGAGGAGGAGGAGGAGGAGGAGGAGAAAGGCAAGGGAACGAAACAGCACGCACAGACGACGGCGAGGGCGCAGGCGGGAGGCTGCCAGCGGGACGACGAAGGCTGGCGGGCAGGCGGCAAGGCCGCGGGACGGAGCAGTCGCGGCCTGGCCCAGCGAGGCCGCCGCCACCGGCTCCGCCGTCATCGTCTCGAAGATGTCCTCCTTCACGGTCGGCCGCCCGAACTTCTCGCCGAGCTCCTGCCCGCGCGGCCGCGGAAAGCACGGCCGCGGGGCTCTGCTCCCTCCAGCTCCTGCACCTGCTCCCCCCTCCCCCCCCGCCCTCTCTCCGCCCCTCCCCTCTCTCCATCCTTGCGTCCCTCTCCTCCGTTCCCTCCGGCCTCTCCCTTCATCCTCCCTCCTCCCTCCTCCCTCTTCCCCTCTCCTCATCCTGCTCCTCGCCCCGCCTCCAACCCTCCACCTCGTATACAAAGCCATCCAGTCGCAACACCAGACGCGGTCCATTCGCATGATACGTCCTTTCACTTTTACTATAGGGAGGCGGAACGACCTCCAGCAGCTGCAAGGATGGAAGCCACTTGCTTCTCAACAAAAATATGTGTCGGCCTGAGCGTCGCAGGCACTCATTCGAAACATCCCAAAAATGATACGAGGACGGCGGACCAGTCGTTTCCAGAAAGTGGCTCCCGCCTGAGCAACGCGCATCTACTTTGTTTCAAGCTCCCTGCAGCTGCACGGATGGAGCCGATTCGTTTTCGAAATGCGGCCCCCGCCTCAGCGCCGCGCACACTCGTCAAGCAGAAACAGCTCCACAGACGGAGCGGGACGGTGTTCTGAATGCGGCTCTCGCCGTAGCGCCTTGCACATTCGTCTGACCAACTTCCATGTGTTCGAAGGATGGGAACCGGTTCGTGTTTCAAATGCGGCTATCGCTTTGGACATCATCAAGTGCAACTGCCCGACGTCCAAGCTGGTGCGACGCTTAAGCGGATGGAGCGGAGCTCCTGGAAGAGGGCTGTTGCCTGTTCAACCTTGGCTCGGGCAGTAGCTCTGCCCCGGCGGAACCGCTGCCGGGCACTCTCTTGGGGAGTGGGCCTTGGGCGCTGTGAGCGCCACAGAGCTGCAAGCAAAATGGCATCACATGATAGAGGAGGAGGAGGAGGAGGAGGAGGAGGAGGAGGAGGAGGAGGAGAAGGAGGAGGAGGGGGAGGAGGAGGGGGAGGAGGAGGAGGAGGAGGAGGAGGAGGAGGAGGAGGAGGAGGAGGAGGAGGAGGAGCAGGATGAGGAGGAGGAAGAGGAGGAGGAATGTGAATACTCATACTGCTCGCCCCTCCAACGTGGGGCTCTCTCCCGAATCGTCCGCGGGACTGTGGCCAGACCTCTGCCACTGTGCGGCGCGTCCACGGCTGGAGGACGCTCCTCTTAGCTGGACTGCCGGGGAGCGACTCCACCGCGCACGGGGTGCCTCGCCCGGATGGCACGCCGACCGGGCGCTCGTCGGTCGAGGGGGGGTGCTGCCCGCACTGAGGACAGCCTCTTGCCTTGGCATCAGAAGAGGGGGGGCCAGGGGGGCTCGGGGCGGCGACGACGACGACGGCGACGAAATAGGAGGGACGACGACGAGACGCCGACGACGGACGACGACGACGACGACGAGGGAGGAGGAGGAAGGACGACCACGGCGACAACGACGACGGAAACGACCACGACGCCAAAGAGGACGACGACGACGACGATTACGAGGAAAGACAGAGGACGACGTAGGCGACGACGACGACGACGACGACGCGGGAGGAGGGAGGACGGCGACGACGACGACGACGACGACGACGCAAGAGCGCGCGCACGCTTTTGTTGAAAATCAGTGCTGCGAAACCTTGTGTTTTTTTGTAGGTTTCTTGGACACACGATGGTGAAATCCTTCCGAAACCGATGGATATTGAAGGATTTCGGCATACGCGCGCGACAACGCGCGCGTCTGCACTTCGTCCAGTTTTTTGCAGAGGATTCTCGCGACGGCACGCGCGCAAGGGCGTTCGACAGATTTCGACATGCGCGCGCGCGAAGCCCGTTTGGTAGCATTTTGTGAAAATCTTGAAAAACCTATGGTTTCCTCAAGATTTCGCAAGAGCCCGCGCGTCAGCTTTTTTAACATCAGTGTTACGAAACCTTGCGTTTTTGTATGTTATTTGGAAACTCGATTGCGAAATCCTTCCTGCACCGAAGGTTTCTGTAGGATTTCGGCATGCGCGCGCGACGGCGCGCGCGTGTGCACTTCGTCGCGATTTTTTCAAGGGATTCGTGAAACAGTTTGAAGTTAGAACAAAAAGTGTTCCCGCGTATCGTTTTTTACAAGGGAACCTCAGGGAGGCCGATGCCGGTTCCCCTGGGATAATGTAAATTCATATTTAGGATGGACATGCGCTCATAATCATACATGATTTACATACCCGAGAGGGAGGCGGATAACGACGGGGGGGGTAGAGTCTATTCTCTGGGTAGAAAAGAAAATTGATTTCTGTTCGCAGTGAGTTGCCCACTCCACTGCTCGCGCAAACATCCCACCCACCCACCCGCAACTTGGTTTGCAAAATCTCTGAAGACAGTGACGGTGGGTACCAAATGGCACTTGGCAACGACAGCGACGCCGACGACGACAGCGACAACGACGACGACGCCGCCGCCGACAACGACTACGACGACACCGACGACGTCTCCAACGACTTCGACGACGCCGACAACGACGACGACGACGACGACGAAACCGACGACAACGCCGACGACGACGACGACGACGAGGACAACGACGACGACGATGACGACGCCGACGATGACGACAACGACGACACCGACGACGACGACGACGTCAACGACGCCGACGACGACGACGACGGCGGCGACGACGACGACACCGCCGTCGACGACGACGAAGACGACGACGACGCCGACGCCGACGACGACGACGAAGACTACGACGACGTCGCCAACGAAGACGACGACGAGGGAGGACGACGACGGCGGCAACGACGACAACGACGACAACGACGAGGGAGGAGGGAGGACGGCGACGACGCGAACGACGAAGAAGGAGGAAGGACGGCGACGCCGACGACGACAACGACGAGGGAGGAGGGAAGACGACGACGACGACAACGACGACGACGACGACGACGGCGACGAAATAGGATGGACGACGACGAGACGCCGACGACGGACGACGACGACGACGAGGGAGGAGGAGGAGGGACGACCACGGCGACAACGACGACGGAAACGACCACGACGCCAAAGAGGACGACGACGACGAACACGAGGAAAGACAGAGGACGACGTAGGCGACGACGACGACGCGGAAGGAGGGAGGACGGCGACGACGACGACGACGCAAGAGCGCGCGCGCACGCTTTTGTTGAAATCCGTGTTGCGAAACTGTGTTTTTTGTAAGATTTTTGGGCACACGATTTTGAAATCCTTCCGAAACCTATGGTTTTTGAAAGATTTCGGCATACGCGCGCGACGACGCTCGCGTCTGCGTTTCGTCCCGTTTGGTAGCATGTTCTTAAGATTTCGCAAGAGCTCGCGCGTAAGCTTTTTTAGCAAATCAGTGTTGCGAATCCATGTGTGTTTGTATGTTATTTGGGAACTCGATTGCGAAACCCTTCCGACACCGAAGGTTTTTGAAGGATTTCGGCATGCGCGCGCGACGGCGCGCGCGTGCGCACTTCGTCTCATTGTTTGCAAGGGATTCGTGAACAAGTCTTATGTTAGAACAAAACATGTTCCCGCGTATTGTTTTTTACAAAGGAACCTCAGGGGGAGCGATCCTGGCCCCCCTGGGATCGTGTAAATTCATAGTTAGGATGGACATATGGCCAGAATCATAGATGATTTACATACCCGAAAAGGGGGGCGGATAACGCCACGGGGGGGGGGGGGGGGTAGTCTATTCTCTTTGTAGAAAGGAGAGTCTACGTGGTGCAATCCATGTGGTGCATTTCAAGTGCTGCAGGTGTGCGAGGCCGCAACGAAGCGGCGACGACGAGGCAACGGCGAGCACGGAGCCGCCATACTGGCGCCCAAGCCCGAACGATGGTCGGCGACGAGGCGGCGACGGCGAGCAGGAAGCATCCAGACCAACATTCAGGGGCAGTTCCGTCGAAGAGACAGAAGACACCCTACGCGGAAGCAGTGTTTCGGGAATCTGCAGACATAGATGCAAAGATTCGTGTATGCATGAACATATAAATATACACACGCATCACGCGTCGACCCACACATCCCCCACCTGGTTCCTCGTTCCTGGCGGCTGGAAAGAACGTCGTTCGTAGCCTCCCCCCCGAGGGCTGGTCGGCCCTGGGGGGCTTGATCAAACAAGTGCCACGTGATCCCTGGAGCACGGCTCCAAAGGTCACCGGCACGTATACGTAAGAGTAGCGCAGCGGACGGCCAGACAGACAGGGGGGAGGGAGGAAGGGATGGACAAAGAGGCAGATTGACGCAGTATTTCCTACCTCCTCTTCCTCCTCGTTCTCTTCCCCCTCGTTCTTTTCCTCTTGTCTCACCATCTATCCTTCTCGAGCGTCGCCATCGCCATCTTGGACGGGTAGCTGGGCACCTGCGGGCGCGGCCCTGCGGCATGACTGCTGCCCCTGCCTGGAAAAGATCCTGTGGCGCCCCTGGCGCCGACGTGTAATGATGATGTTGGCAGTGGAGACTTGTTCCTTGTATGCATCATCCAGAATGCTGCAACTGAGCTGATCGGTCATACTTCCGCCCAGTGCTTCCTTCGACAGTGCCCACGGAGACGCCACTGTCTCTGTCTTAGTCGTAGGTCACTCTGACCTGTGGCCACGACTTGTGGTCACACTCGGCTTGTCTTGTCATGTGCTGTATACTTCGCAGATGCTTAGTTTCCGCCTTCTATGTTTTTGATATTGTCTTTCTCTCCTCTCCCAATCCTTCTGGCGGTGTTTGCGCGAGTCGCTGCATTGTGATTGTGAATAGTGGCCCTCTCGTCTGCCTGAACCCTTCTTGCACTCAGTGCTCAAAACGATGCCCTCCTTCATGATTCGTCTTCAACTTCCGCATAGTTGTCGTAGCATAGCTTAGCCTTCCATACATACTCCTCGCAGAGCGGGTACCGTTGCCAACCCTCTTCCAATACCATGTTGTATACAGAATAAAAATTGTGTTCAGGGTCCCCCCGAACCGGATCACTCATTAACCCCGTCAACAATTTGACAATCGAGCTGCAACTCCCATTGGTTGAGAATCCGCTTTTGAATAATAACAGACAACTGCGTGTCTGCCCCTGCATCTCGCACTGCTCGAGCAAGGTGACGGGCGTATCCCCGCAGCACTCAACCTGGCACAGGTCGCCCTTAGACTCAATGTTCGCGACGACCCGATCATCCTCGAACAAAACACGGGAAGGCACTACGCTCCCGAGCAGCAGTGCAACTTCGAACATATCCTGGATCCGCTCTTGAAGTTTCTTTGGCCACGGAGTCGCCAAGCTTCTCAAGAGGAACCGCACGTCAAATTCTGATGGGGGAGGCCGACTCGCGTCGATCTCAGCAGTCCCTTGGCCTGCTTGGGGGCGCAAGGCTGTGAAATATCTTGCTGGACTGCGGTCTTAGGTTCGTTGTGCCGTCGCTGCGGTCTTAGGTTTAGTGGGACCTGGTTTAGCGATGCATACTGGGAAATGACCCCCTCGGCCCAATTGAACTAAAAAGAACTGCCGCCACCCGAAGAAACACCAGACCTGGTTTAGTTATTCCGGTCCATCCTCTGGGCCTCGGGGCCCAGTCACTAACCGGCTCCCTTTACACGGGGTCCTGGCTACACCCGACGTCTTTCAATGTTTGTCTACTGCCTCTCCAGTCCTGTCTCCGCTCGACCGTCTACCAGGGGGCCCAGGACACTGGCCATCGCTCGGACGTCCATTCCCTGTGTTTTTTCGGTTTTGTGAATGGTTTTTTCGCCAAATGATCAAGGATGCTCCTCGATGGTTCTCGCCGAGAAAAAAATGCACACGTCCGAGCGATGCCAGGGACATCACTTGGAGGGGTACGCCATGCAGCCTCCTGGCAGCTCTGGGCCGCCAAAGAATTTGCTAGGGTTGCCAGCGCATGGCCATGCCGTGGGCGGCGGCGACTCGCCGCAGGCGTCTTCGATCAACGTAGGTTCAACCGAATCAATTGTACGTATGCCAGGCGTCTCACCGAAAGACCTTGAAAGCAACCTTGCCAGATAGCACTTCAATTACGCGGATGAGATTGGAAGGGGGTGCGCTTGCGAGTGGATCGTGCGCGCCACGGTCTACGACTGTTCTGGCTCTTTCTTTTCTTGTCTCTATCTCTCTCTCTCTCTCTTTCTCTGTATTTCTTGCTTCCTTTCTTTTTTCGCTCTCTCTCTCTCTGTCTCTCACATGCAGAATGCGTCGCTGGCACGGTGGCAGGTTTGAGGAGGAGTGGGAGGCTCAGACATCCTCGCCCTCCTCGCCCCCCTTCTCCTCCTCGTCCTTCTCGCCCTCCTCGTCCCCCCTCTCCGCCTCGTCCTCCTCGCCCTCATCGCCCCCCTTCTCCACCTCGTCCTTCTCGCCCTCCTCGTCCCCCCTCTCCACCTCCTCCTCCTTCTCCTCCTCCTCCTCGCAATCTTTCCCGTCACCCTTCCGGGTCTCCTGGCCTTCGTGTCCTCCTTCTCTTCTCCTTCTCTTCCCGAGGCCTCCTGCCCCAAAACAACAATAACATCGAGGAGGAGGAGGACGACGACGAAGAGAAGGAGGAGTAGTAGGAGGAGGAGGAGGAAGATGAGGAGGGGGAAGAGGAGCAGGACGAGAAGGAAGGAGAAGGAATAGGGGGATGAGGAGGAGGATGAGGTGGAGGAGGAGGAGGAGGGGGATGAGGAGGAGGAGAAGGAGGCTGTCTCCCCAGCCCTCCTCCGCTCAGGCACGGCGAAAGGCCCAGGCGGGCGCCCCAGGAGGGGCCTTGTCGCAGAGCTTCTGCAGTTCCACCATCGCCCTCGGAGAAAGGACGTCGGGACGGATGCTCAGCGCCTGCCCCGGCTCCCAGCCCGTCGAAAGAAGGAGGAGGAGGAGGAAGAGGAGGAGGAGGAGGAGGACGGGTGGATGGAAATGAGAGGGAGAAGGAGGGAGGAGGGAAGCGGGGAGCAAGAGGAACGGCAGCAGGAAGCGGTGGGAGATTGTTTACATGAGCTGAAGGCTCAAAATTAGCGCCACGGAACCGTCTCCATCGTGAGATCTGACCTTCTTGGGTGTAGACCTTCGCTAATCATATTGAAATACCAGGTTTGCTTCGTCGTGGGCGCTCTGCACTCCTTCGCTGAGCCTCGAACATAGCTAGGAGGCGATGAAGGAGGAAGGCACTGAGGAGCAGGAGGAATACTTCGACGAGAAGAAGGAGGACTGGGGCGATGATGACCACGGGGAGGAGGAGATGTAGACAGGGACTGGGAAGAGGAGGAGGAGGAGAAGGAGAAGGAGGAGGAGGAAGGAGGAAGGAGGAGTAGCCACTTGCTCCGGCCCCACTCGACCAAGCTCAGAGCATGAAGAGGTCGAGGATGAGATGGAGGACGCGGAGAGGCGGATGAGAAACGCCCCTCGCCTCACTCCTGGCCTAGACCCCCTCAAAATTGGTCCACTGGGCCCCTCCCGAGATCCCGACCTTGCCAAGCTGGTCGAGCTGCGGCCCGCCCTGATGAGGAGGGTCTAATCCCCCCCTCTGTAGGCTTCTTGTGATCCGGAAGCTGTCTTCCACCCGGCCCCCCTGGCGAAGGCCAGGGCGCGAGGGAGGGCTTCGCTCCCTTGGGAGACGCAGGCCGCATCTTGAAGGCTTGAAGGTCCCTGGCATCGAAGTCCCGACCCCGTCCTCGGGGCCGGCGCCTCCTCCCAAGCCGTCTTGTGGCGGTCCAGGGGCCCAGCGAGGGCCCCGAGAGGCCGAGAACGATGATGATGATGATGATGATGATGATGATGATGATGATGATGATGATGATGATGATGATGATGATGATGTTGATGATGATGATGCTGATGATGATGATGATGATGAAGAAGAAGAAGAGGGGGAGGAGGATAATAATAACGACTACGCGCATGAGAGGGATAGGCTCGAAGAGCGAACCATGACATAAACATAAACTTCCGGAGGTCCGCGCGGAGTTCTTGGACCAGCACTGGATCTCCCCCCCTGGAGCGCAGAGCGCGACAGGGGCGGCGCCGGAGGGGCCGCCGTGGGGCTCCAGCGCCGATGCGAGAAAGCCGCGCGGACCTCCAAATGTGGATGTTTGTGTCGTTAACCGCCATCGGTCTTTAGACCCCCCCCCAATAGTTGGACACTCCTTCTTTTTAAGACGCCTGATGGACGTACTGGGGTCCCACCAAGACAGGAACAAGAGGAGAAGGAGGAGGAGCAGCAGTAGGAGGAGGAGGAGGAGGGGCGGAGCTGCTCCACCGCCGCGAGAAAAACGGGGGGAGGGGTGCTCAAGACTGCAGATCTCCTGCGGCGAAGGATTTGTTCCTCGACAGTCGAGCAGGGACCGACCGTCCCGGCATTCCTATAGCCCTACCACGACATGTTCTTATAACCCAAAAATGTTCGAATACCACAAACAATGCTCTTAGAACATAAACCGATGTGTTAAAACAAGGCAATCTCAGCCAGAAATGTTCTCATAACATTTCGTGCAGACCACAAAGGGTTCTTAGAACACTGTTTGGTGGGACTATAAGCGAGCCAGGACGCTTCGCCACTGCTCCTCGACGGGCGCCTGGCCCAGCTTGATGAAGAACGGCCCCAGCGTGGTCACCACGCCGTTGAACTGCGCGGCGCGCTCCACCTGCACGTCGGGGCCTCGGCGCCCGCCCGGCCCCGAGGGGGAACCCCTGGGCGGCCCGGCCTTCCGCATCGGCCCCGTGCGCGTCGCGCCGGGCCCGCGCCCGCCCCGCCAGGACGCCTCGGCGGCGGCCGCCCGCGCGGGCCGCCCATGCCGAAGACCTCTTGGTGCTGTGAGTGCCCCTCCCCCCCCACTTTCTCGCCTGCTCCGCGGCCGCGCTCTGCCCCGTCTTCCCTCTCGCCGCCGGACGGGTGGTGCGCTCCGCCCCGGCTGCTCACGGGAGCGCGCGGGCGGATTGCCCCTGCCGCGCCGCGACGGAAGAAGTGATGCCGACCCAGGCGAGGGTTCCCGACACCGCGGGGGTCGTTCATCCTTCGTTGTCGTCGTCGTTTTCTTCGTCGTCGTCTTTGTCGCCTTTGTCGTCGTTGTCGTGTCTGTCGCCGTCGTCGTCGTCGCCTCGTCGCCTCCAGTCGTCATGTCGCCCCGTCAGCATGTCTTGTCGACGCGTGGGCGCTCGGTCTGCGCGGGGTGCACCCCAACGGGCTGCGTCTTGCAGGTCAGCACCAAACGGAGACGGGGAGGAAGGACGAGGAGGAGGAGGAGGTGGAGGAGGAGGGGGGGAAGAAGAGGAGGGGAAGATGATGATGATGCTGCTGCTGCTGCTGATGATGATGATGATGATGATGATGATGAGGATGATGCTGAGGATGATGATGAGGGAGGAGGAGGATGAGGATGTGGAGGAGGAGGAGGAGGAGGAGGAGGAGGAGGATGAGGAGGAGGAGAGGGGAGGAGGAGGAGGAGGCAGGAGGAGGAGGAGGGAGGTGGAAGAGGAGGAGGAGGAGGAGGAGGAGGGGGAGGAGGGATGGGGAATAGGGGGGGAAGAGGAGGAGGAGAAGGAGGCAGGAGGAGAGGAGAGGAGGAGGAGGATGGAGGAAAAGGAGGAGGGAAGGAGGAGAAAGAGAGGGAATATGATGATGACGTGATGATGATAAATTGATGAGATGATGATGTGATGATGATGATGATGCTGCGCTGTGTATGCTGATGATGCGGGTGATGATGATGCTGATGTGACGATGATGATGATGTTGCTATGATGATGATATGATGATGAGATGCTGAAATGATGATGATGATGGATGATTGATGATGATGTGATGATGATGAGGCAGAGGCGGAGCGGCGATGAGGGAGGAGGAAAAGAGGGAGGGAGGGACGAGGAGGAAAGGAGGAAAACGAGGAGGACAAGAAGAAGAAAGATTGAGGATGCATTGATGATGATGAGGAGGAGGAGGAGGAGGAGAAGGAGGAGGGGGAGGAGGGGGGAGGAGGGGGGGGAAGGAGGAGGGGCAGGAGGGGGAGGAGGGGGAGGGGGGGGAGAGGAGGAGAGGAGAGGGGAGGAGGAGAGGAGGAGGAGGAGGAGGAGGAGGAGGGGAGGAGGAGGAGGAGGAGGAGGAGGAGGAGGAGGAGGAACAGGAGAGGAGGAGGAGGAGGAGGAGGAGGAGGAAGGAGGAGGAGGAACAGGAGGAGCGGCGGAGGAGCAGGGAGGAGCAGGAGGAGGAGCATGGAGCAGGAGCAGGAGCAGGAGCAGGAGCAGGAGCAGGAGCAGGAGCAGGAGCAGGAGGAGGAGGAGGATGGAGGGAGGAGGAGAGGAGGAGGAGGAGGGGAGGAGGAGGAGGAGGGGGGGAGGAGAGGGAGGGGAGGAGGAGGAGGAGGAGGGGAGGAGGAGGAGGAGGAGGAGGAGGAGGAGGAGGACGTGGAGGAGGATGAGGAGGAACAGGAGGAGGAGGAGGACGAGGAGGAGGATGAGGATGAGAAGGGGGAAGATGCTGATGATGATGATGATGATGCTGATGATGATGATGATGAGGAGGAGGAGGAGGAGGAGGAGGAGGAGGAGGAGGACCCAAAGAGGCAGAACAAAACCGTGGCGCTCAGCAAGGCGCGGGCCAACGTGCCCTGGCCAACGGCCAAGGTGGCCAACGGCCAACACCAAGGGCGCACGCGCAAAAAGCGGGAATCACGGACACGAGCTGGGACCTGACCTCCGGCATCCTTTCCTTGACTAACTCCCAATAGCGCCAGAAACGCTGTGACTTAGGGAGGAAATCTCAAAACAAAAAAAAAACAAGCTAAGGACCGCCCTACACCCCGCGCCAAAATGGCGCACGGGGTGTCGGGATCGGCGCCCAAGGGACAATACGCGGAGCTTTGCCCAGCGCCCGCACCCTCGCAAGCACGGCAACAGTATGCCCGCGGCAAAGAGCACTGCGACCAAGAGGTTGCAGGCGGGAAGCCGCGGGCCCCGCCTCCGTGATCGTCAACGGCGGTTCACCTCAGACCAGGAGGTGCCACTGGGGTCTCCCCGCGCCCAGGCGCACCTCTTGGCCGAGGTGGCAGGGCACTAAAAACCCTGGCCTGACAGCTGCAACGGCGACAGCGGCGGCAGCAGGGCGGGGAGGGGGGAAGGGCCACTCTCCGGCCCAGGAGCGCAAACAACGTCCACCCCGGAACTTAATCCAGGGCCGTGCCGCAACTCCCAAAGAGGAAAGGGGCGACGGACACGACGACGAAACGAGACACGAAGGACGACAACGAACGACCACGAACCTCCCAGAGGGAAGTGCCGCCCTCCGCCCGTTCCTTATCGCACCCGCGAGCGGGCGGGATAAGGAGCGTGACATCATCGGACCCACACCGCACTTAGGCGGTGCCACACGGAGCCCAGGCTGCACCGCTTATCAACGGTGGCGAGGCATTTGAACATTGCCTCGGCCTGACGGCTGGAGGAGGAGGAGGAGGAGCAGGACGAGGAGGAGGAGGAGGAGGAGGAGGAGGAGGAGGAGGAGGAGTCGGAGTAGGAGGAGGAGAGGGGGGCGGAGGAGGAGGAGGAGGAGGAGGAGGAGGAGGAGAGGAGGAGAGGGAATGACAAGACGAGGACAAGAAGAAAGAGGAGGAGGGGGAGGAAGAGAAAAGGAGGGAGGAGGAGGAGGAAGGAGGAGGAAAGAGGAGGGAGGAGGAGGCAGGAGGAGGCGGAGGAGGAGGAGGTGGGGTTGGCAGGAGGAGGGGGAGGAAGGAGGAGCAGGAGGAGGAGGAGCAGGAGGAGGAGCGAGGGGGAGGAGGAGGAGAGGAGGAGGAGGAGGAGGAGGAGGAGGAGGAGGAGGAGGAGGAGGAGGAGGGAGGAGGATGAGGGAGAAGGAGGAGGAGGAGGGGAAGGAGGAGGAGGAGGAGGAGGACGAAGAGGAGAAGGAGGAGGAGGAGGAGGAGGAGGAGGAGGAGGAGGACGGGGACTTTGACAGAAACCATGGCGAGGCGTTCTCCGGGCTCCGTGCTCTCCAGCCGGGGCCCTCGCCGGGCCTCGGGACGGTCAAAAACGACTCGGGATGAAGAACCTGTCCCGGGGAAGTGGTCGGGAGGTCGGGGGCCCGCGTCTCGAGGGAATCGACACGTCGGATGTCTGTGTGGGGCCCTGGAGTCGGCGGGTCGACGCAGAGCAGGCCCGACAGAGCACAGAGGTCGGAACAGAGACTGCAGCCGCGCCGCGCTGCGGTGTCGGAAGGGCGGGCAGGGAAATCTCTGAGCCGCCACCCCGCACCCATGTGATCGTCCTGCCCCTTCCCGCGGCGAACGGCACCTCGCAGTGGTGCCGACCAACTGCAAAGGGGAAGTGGGGTGATGGAGTGGACGAGGGGGAGGTTCAGATGCTCATTCTGGGGGCCTTCTTGGAGCCACTCGCTCCACTCGTGCGACGAAGCTGCGTCGAACATCCGTCGACTCGAGCCGAACCTGAGTGGAACCTGAGTGGAACCTGAGTGGAACCTGAGTCGAACTTGAGTCGAACTGGAGTCGAACTGGAGTCGAACAGATCCGTTCGGTGTCCACAGGAAGGTCCCCCGCACGAGCATTGAAGGCACCTCGCAGCTGTGCCGACCAACTGCACCAGGGAAGTGGGGCGATGAAGTGGACGAGGGGGAGGTGGAGCAGGGGCTAAGATTAAGTCGGGCCTGTCCCCCTACAGGGGGACAGGGGGATTTTCGACGAAAAAGTAAAACATACCCCCAAAATAATCAAAAAACAATCAAAAATAGTGTGGGGACTATTGTGGAGGTATGTTTTTATACCTTTTTGGTGTATGTTTGGTGTATTTTTAATTTTTCGTCGAATATCCCCCTGTAGGGGGACAGGCCCGACTTCAGGCTAAGATGCCTGGTGGCATGGCGGATGCGGGTCCCAGACCCCCGAAGCCATGGTTTTTCCATGACGTCCACTCCAGAGGTCTGGACTCTGGACCCCTTCCCTGTGACCCGTCTTTCATCCTGGGTCGTCTTTTGACGCTCCCGAGGCCTGGGGAGGGCCCCCAAAGGCCCAAAATCGAGAAAAACCTCCCGTCGTGATTCTTTCCTGACTCGAGGGGGTCTGGGGTCCCTAGCATTATGTCGGAGAGAGCGCGCCCGCAGGGCCCGAGCAAAGGGGAGGGGGGGCTAGGCTTAAGCTACCCCCCCCCCCCTTTTGCCGCCCTTGTTGGAAGCACCCCCCCCTTTTTTTTGCAAGGGGGGGGGGGGCTTACAGCTACCCCCCCCCCCTCCCCCCTTGGGCCTTCCCCGGAAGCTACCCCCCCCCCCTTTCCAAAAGGGGGGGGGTGCTTAAGCTACCCCCCCTCCCTTGGCGCCGCCCTGCTGGAAGCTACCCCCCCCTCCCCCCCTTTCGTACAAAAGGGGGGGGGGTGCTTGGAAGCTACCCCCCCCTCCCCCTTTGGCCGCCTCGGAAGCTACCCCGCGTCCTTACCTTCCTTTCCAAAGGGAGGGGGGTGCTTAAGCTACCCCCTCCCCTCCCTTGGAGCCGCCCTGC